TTCTACTACTTGGGATCAGGCTTCATCATCTCTTGGGTTGACTTGTGAGAGTATCCAGTGGGCTACTTCATTGTTACCAGAGTGCTCTTCCTGAAACACAAATCTGATTATTTCCTTGTAGAATCTTTTAGTGGCTCTCCATTGGATCTAAACTCCTTGCTAGGCTTCTGTTGTCCTTTTCCTCTGTCCAGTACCACCAGTTCATCTCTCATCAACCCTTTATACATCCTGTGCTTCACCCCAAACTATTCATGGTTCTTCAAATGTGTAATACTATTTCAAACACACACTAATTGCTTTGTTTGCCTTTCCTCATTGCTGACAACTCCTTTTCATACTTAGATACCTGAATAGGGTGCCTGTTCCTTCCTCTAACTCACAAGTAGTTGATTACTCATTTTTGAGATCCCACTGTGCCTAGTATGTGTGTCTATTATTGCTTTTATTGTGTTATATCACTGTTTTGTTTACATATCTATCTCTTAATAAACCATGAGTGCCTTGAGGGGAAGGACTGTTAATTTGCATTTGTGGGAACAATACTTAAATGCTGGCATGTATTAAAGATCATAATCATTAAGTATAAGCAATAGAAGCATTCAAACAAATAGAATTGTTCTTTTAAAGACTTCACAATATCAGTTTGAAAAAGCATGCCTGTGTAATAAGTGAAGAATAGTTTGTTGTACTGCATAGCTTGTGGTGATGATTTGATTCACTGAGCTGCAGATAACAGGTTAGTAATATGGTGTTGACTGGTTCAAGCCATATGACCATGGTGTTGTAGATCATAACAAGGGACTGCCTATTCATAAGTCAATCAGTAGAAAATCAGTTGTGTCAATTCTCATGTATTTTATACATTTTAGCAATAACATTTAAGAGTTGAATTGCAATTATGCAAAAAAATTATACATTCTACTTTTTAATCTATATAATATGAAAAACCAAAAGAATATATTCACAGAATGTTAGGGGCAGGCTCAAATCTTATCTCAATCATTGTGATTTTTTGGAGTTATAACTTCTAAAGTTTAGAAATCTCAGTCTGAAATCTGTCAGGTCCCAGAGGTTACAGGTAGCCAGGCTTGTACTATAATAGGTATTCAGTGATTGAAATGACAAGACAATTTGTGAAACATGACAAGAAATGTAAAGGATCCTGTTTTTAACAATGTTTTAAGTGAGTGGTTCAATAATTTCCAGATAATTGACATTAACTTCTTCAATTCCTAATATATTTTGTTTCCCCTTTGCTGGGAACCTCTATAATTCCAATCCCACTAGTATTAATATCATGTGTACCTCTCATCTTCTACTTTCCTCTTCTCAAAACCTGACATAGTTATTTTATTCTAATCTGTTATGGACCAAGAAATGGACTTTAAGTGAGAGTTTATTCCCAGGTTCTAGGGTGCATTCTGAAGGTTTGAGTTGCTATTGTTCTATCTTACTGAACAGTTTTAAGTGAAGTTTTTAAAAAAAAATTATTCTATGATAAATCTTAGATAAAAGTTTTTAGAACTCTTTGTTCCAGGTTAATAAAACTATTGGAGAAGAACTGATTTCTAAAT